ATTAAGCTATTCATTTCGTTATATCACTGTATTTATTACTATTAGTAGTAGTACTAGTACTAGTAGTAGTAGTAGTAGTAGTAGTAGTATTTTATGTTTTTATCCTGTGTTTACTTTTCTGTTTGATTTGTTTGCTTGTTTCTATCTTTTTTGCTTTGTTTTAGTTTGCTCTGTTTTATGCTTGTTGGCTCATTTTGTCACAATAACCGTGACGCTGTCAAACTGAACTGCAACCCCAAAAACATAGCTTCAACCACCGACTAGGTTTTTATAACCTACATTATTGAAAGAGATATTTTGGAGCAGAAAACAGTGGAAAGTTGCAAAAGAATCTAATTTGACACTTCTAATGTAAATTTATATATTTTTCTCAGTGCCCCATCATGAACATTATCTTGACATGTCTGCACGCTAACAGTCAGAAATGGTTGCCCGGGCAGTGACCATTACTCAGCATGAGGGGCGAGAAGCCTCGTGCTGTTCACATCCCTCTCCTCCGTTCTGGGACCAAGCAGAGGACCTCCGCTGCATCGCCACCACCTTCCAGTATCTACAGACCTCAGGTACTTCACAGACATACAGCTGCTCACTCTGTGTGTGTTTCTTATTCTAAAGTTATCTAGATGTTTTTTTACTCTGTCTGTACTCCACACTTAGCGACTACAAATCCCATTACCTTGTGATGGCCAACAAGATTATTGGGGGTAATGTGATCATATACTTAAGAGCTTTGCCAGGTGCTGATTATCTTAAGGGGAGTGTTTCCTATTTAAAAGGCAGCTGCACTTTGTAATTGAGATACTAAAGAAGCCGAACAATGTCTTTTGTGAATAAAGAGATTTCCTTGCATGAGTGTGATCCTCCTCTGTCATCACTGGGAGTAATATTTAGAAAGCATTGGTGGGAGTTTCCAAAAGTAAAACATTTAAAATGGCCATATTCACCAAAGCAAAATAAAAATCCAAATCTTTTATCCAGGCTGGTACTGGGGTTCCCTCTCAGCGAGGGATGCTCGGGAAGCTCTGCTGACAAAGTCTGAGGGTACGTTCCTGGTGCGGGACAGCAGCCACCCACAGTATGTGCTGGCACTATCAGTGAAGACGCGCTGTGGACCTACTAGTGTACGAATCGAGTACAGCAGGGGCTGTTTCTGGCTGGACTCCATCTCCCCTGGTCTGCCTCAACTGCAGTCCTTCCCGGACGTCCTCAGCCTCATACAGCACTACAAGAGCTCGGGCCACGCGCCACAGGACCAGGCATCCAATGACTTTACCCCCGAAACAAAGCCTGACCCTGAGGGTGGGGTCCCCTTAAACCTGATGCATCCTTTACACAAACCCGAGGCCTTCCCCTCTCTGCAGCACCTGGCTCGCCTCACCATCAACAGACACACAAACTGTCCAGAACACCTGCCACTCCCGAGGCCTCTGCTGCGATACCTGCAGGACTACCCCTTCCACATATGAGGGTCTCTGTCACGTGGATCAGGGTCACACTCCATGACCTTGCACTGTGGCTCTGGGACAGTTCGACACCCCAGGCAACAGAGGAGAAGGTTTCTTTACTGTTCATGAACAGCGGAGCTAACTCTCCTGTAACATGTTCAGAAAGCTTTTAAACGTTTCCTCACATCCCAGTTGTTTTCCTGTTATGGGCATCATGATACAACAGGTATTCTGATCATGGTTTACAGAGAGGAGAGGTCCATTTCCTGCTGTGTCACCTTAATAACTCTCTTCCATTCAAAAGACAGAAGAATTAAGATATTTGAGGCTACACTGGTTACCGATGTTGTATCCAATGTAACGTGTGGATAAATTAAGGTCAGGCTGACACTTCTTGACGTGCAGCCAGAGTCGACTGACAAAGTCATTGGAAAAGAGCAAATAAAAAAGACAGGGCACAGTGTGTGCTTTGCATTTCTTTCATGTCCTGTATCTGTTCTAAAATCAGATATCTTCTGTTCGAAGTAAAGACACACTCGCTTTCAGAAATCATAACCAGAATGAAGATCAGAGGATGATGAGTATTAAATGACATCTGGTTACAAAGCTGGTTCTTCTCAGAAGAGGATCAAACGGGCCTGTGGATTTCCCAGAAATCAATTTCAGAAATGTTTCCTCTTGTTATCCAGAGTGTTTCCACTGCTGGTAGGACTGGGCAGTTTGAACATGCTGTTGTGGTTTCTATCATACTCGCTGTGCCCACTAGATGTCTCTGTACATACTTCCTGTTTCCTGACCCACCTGTTCACCTGTCGTCCATAATGTCCACTAAAACTTCTACCTCTTTTTCAATCATCTGCTCCCTGGTATTTTTACCAGCCCTGTACAAAATTGGGTTCTTTTGTCTTTGTGTGTTGGTCCTCCTGCTACCTGTCTGTCCCTTCCTATCTGTCTGTCTGTCCTCATCACTTGATCTATTAGAGTTGCTTCATTGCACCAGCCTTCCTGTGTCTGTGCTCGAGTCCTCCCTCCCTGTGCTGCTACCACCTGCAATGACAGCTTGATCTGGCCTAAGATGGACCCAGCAGACAAGCCCTGCCTCAGCCTGTAGAGGCAGAGGATACCTGGGAGGATTTTAGATTGGTCTAAAAGAGTAAGATCCTGTTCTTGTACCTAAGTTGGGCGTCCTTACAGACAACCAGCCTGCTTCCATCATCTCTGTTGTACATGCTCCTCAGGCTGTTTTCCGAGCTCCTGCAAGATATTAAAGCTACCTGGCGGTTTGCACCTGTTGCCAGCCAATGTTGCATCTGGTGCTCAACTTCACTTGTTGGCCTGTATGTCGACCTCCCTCCTATCTTTCTCTCTCTTCTCTCCCCCTCTTTTCCACCCATCTCTCCTCTCCTCCCCATTTTTCTCTGCTTACCCCAACCAGTCCAGGCAGATGGCCACCCACATTGAGTTTGGTTCTGCTAATGGCTTCTTCCAGTTATTGTGGGAGTTTTTCTCTCCACAGTCACCAAAGTGCTTGATCATGGGTTTCTCTATCATTTTTAAGGTCTATGTAAAGTGCCTTGATATAATGTATATTATGATTTGGAGCTATACAAATAAAATTGAATTGAAATGGAATTGTTTGTGGAAAAATGTTAGGTAGTAGATGGCCTCTGTCAACACACTGGTGTTATTCTCAGAGGAGGATCATGCCTGTGGATTTCAGAGAAACAAATCTCGGAAAATACTTCCTCCTTTTTTTTCTTTCGCCAGAATGGTTTTTGTGTTCATCTTTAAATGACCAGTTACTCAAACGTACACATGAATGTGAGGTTTCAGTGTGATTGTTTTCATGGAAACATGCCTGAGTTGGTTTCCACGAGGTGGAAGTGAGCAGTGCTGAGAAAGCCTCTTATCTGGATTAGAGTGAGAGCTGTAGTTATTAATACACTGCTGCACTGACTGAGAATAGACTCAGTCTCCCGGACTGTCTCTGCCTCAGGACTGTTTAAATCATTTCTCAGTATGCGTTCATTGAATCAGCAGCATCATCTAAACACTTTTCTAATTACAATCTCCATCTCGACTGAAAAAGACTAAATATGGACTAAAAGTGTCCTTCTAAGATGAAGTGTAGAAGTACATTATACAGAGAAACAATAAAATGAGGTATATTCGTGCACAGGTACCATGTTGTTAATGATAATCTTATGCTCATTAGCTGCACAAAAGTACAATATCAACCAATATTGTCATTTCTTAAAAGTATTTAACATGTTTTACTGATGTACAGTATCTGCTGACATGATGAGGTGTCTCCTTTGTTAATATAGCTTTTTTTATATATATAGGATACTTTGACATGTTACAGCAGGAGAGGAACAGGCATAAATAATGGGATTAATGTGGGCTGAGTTCCACTGAACTGTCTCTGCTTCATTTTCCTGGTATTGTGCATGCTGGTTCACTATCATGTCTCACTAGGGGCAGTTGAGCAGAACAAAGCCGCTATTAATGTTGTTAGTGACATTAGTGGTTTTTCTTCTATCACAAGCCAAAATATTTCTTGCAAAGGGCCGTTGTGCTTACATGGTACATATTATTATTATTATTATTATTATCTGATGATCCAGTCATCAAGTTACCAATCAATTAGCAAACAGCAAGTCTGAGCCCATGTATCACTCTTGAAATAACACAGAGCACAAAGAGAGTGAGGAACACGGCCAAGCTGCACATCTATGTCCATTTATCCATCCCCCCCCAAAAGTGAAGCCAAACTGTCTCACTCGCCAACTGGTGGCTGGCTGTGTCATAGCTCATAAATCCCACCTTCTCCATGTTAGTTGATGGGACATGGACCAAACTAAAAAGTCAAATGCCCGTCGACGCATGTTTTCCGTCAGTTTAGGTAGTTCTTATCACATTGATGTATGTTCATGAATCTGCGCCGACTTGGCTCCCAATGCGGAAGATGGCAGCATTTCCATTCCGGATATTTTGGCTTCAGTAAATACAAATTTCAAAAGTAACTGCACAACATTTCAAGCACTGTTCTCCTATTATTTGACAGCCTTAAACTTACATGAGCCTTAGTTATATTTTGGTTGATGGTGGCCATGTTTTATGACTAATCTTGCTCATTTGTTATAGGAAGGTGTATCTGTGTGTCTAAAGGCTGAACACCAAATTTTGTCAGGCCAGTTCAGATCATATTTTGTGGGAAGCATTTTCACATCAATTGTAGGCACTGTGCCAATTTTCTGTTCCTTGACATTAAATGACAGGTTGATTCATCTATGAAACATGATGTTTTGTTCGGTCTTGCCCACAGAGGATGTACACCATTTGATGACATATTCTGTTGGGCTGGTTTTGAGTCATATATTTTTGGGTATTTGTGGTGCCCCCTATGGGTTTGGCTCAAAATGGCCTATTCCCAAGGGCTGCCCGAAGAGGTAAGAAGAGTGGGAAAATGGTTTCCGAGTTAAGGTCAACAATTGCTGGGCTCCAGCCTTTGACGGAGGATATTATGATTTAAGGTGATTATTTTTATAATGATTTGCTCAAAAGAAATTAGTTTCATAATCCCTAAGTCTTTACACCAAATGGTGATTTTGGTGTTGAAGTGAAAAACAGTTTTATTTGTTTTTCTGATTTTGTTTGCACTAGAAAAATCAGGTAATAGTAAATTGATATTAAAATGAATTAAAAATCAAACTTTATTAATTGCATTAATCTGTAAAGCTAAAACAATCCTTAATGTGAGACTTTCTAGAACTTTGTTGTAGAGCTGGACTTCTGTGTCACGTCAGGTCTGTTGGACTGAATGGTTTGTAATACAAACAGTAAACTTCATGCATATAATAATAATAACAACACTGTCAGTACTGTCAGTACTGTCAGTAAAGCTATTGTTATTGTTCTATGAATGGAGTGTACTGTTGTACTGTTTGTACAGCGGGGCACTGTTTTCCTCTCCCCGCCCCTGAATCACTTCCTCCAGCAGCCGCGGCGAGGAGGCCAACAAAGCACCACTGAGAGCCCGTCTGGATTCATTTCCAAACCACCAGCAGGTGAGAAGTGAACGTTTACACGGAGAGTGGACTTTCAGTCTGTTTTATTAGCAATATTATTGTCAAATATATTCGATAAACTTATATTTTCTTCCGATATTGTGTCTACGTTCTTCAGCTAAGCTAACTAAGCGATACATTCGCCTTGACTTCCGTTATGCTAGCTAAGTCTAGCTAGCTAGCCGCACCGGTTTGTGGGTGAAAGGAAAAAGCGAGGTATTTGCCGAGTGTTATCAAGCGAGCCACGAACACTGCCGTGGTATTATATTCATTGTATCGTGAGTGTCTTATATCTATGACACCACTTTCAAAGAAATTCACAAAGATGTAAACTTAGCGCGGTAGCCGCGTTTCCAGCTAACGGTAGCTGGTAGCTTCACCAGCTAGCACCAAGTCTTTTGTAAACAGAGGATGTTCCTGCTCGTTTAAGTCTAGGTCCGCCGGCCCGGCAGCGATTCACAGCTGTGTGTCTGAACCAGCTCTCAGCGTGTTAACTCTCAGGTTAGTGGAGTTGGGAAATAATGGTGGTGAATGAGAAATGTTAGTCGAGCTTGATTCTGGGGTGGGTCAGAAACACTGGAGCGGAAATGTATCATCGTGGAAGAAGGTTCCTACTCCCACTTAACACTTCAAATCATCTGTATAGATGTGAGCTCTGGGCCTTCTGATGGCGTCCACGTGTCCCTCCCTGTATATAACACACTATACAGCTGACTGGTTGAGTGTAAACAGTCCTGGCGTTGAATGCTAAATAGTTAGCCTCGGGTGTTGGTTTCAGAGACTCTGGCGTTGTGTCAACACAGCTGAAGGTTACTGCTGCTCATCATTTCTCACCGGGCTGTGGTGGTGGTGGTGGTTGCATAATGTCTGAATGCAATAAAAATGACCCTCCCTGTTGTTAAAGATAAAGTGTTCTCTCGTCTAACCCTTGTTTGTTTCTGTGTCTTGTCTGCAGCGATGGCAGCGATCAGGAAAAAGCTGGTCATAGTGGGAGATGGAGCCTGTGGGAAGACCTGTCTGCTCATCGTGTTCAGTAAGGACCAGTTTCCAGAGGTCTACGTGCCCACAGTGTTCGAGAACTACGTTGCTGACATTGAAGTTGACAGCAAACAGGTAAGAATTGCTTGCTCACATTTCGGACCAGAATCAGTATTATGTAACCTGGCACCTGGGAGTGATTACAGCAACAGATCTGTGCTGGTTGTACCTACTCTACAAAATCACTCCCTACGTACATTATATTTTTCTCCTCATGTGATTGAATCACGAGTGCCCCGACTGGAACAGAAAAAGAAACTGCTTTCAGACATGCAATGAACTCTGGATGTTTTCCTAAAAAATGTACAGATGGGTCAGTTGATCGAGACATTTTCCAGAACTTTACCTGCCAGCCCATGTGACAATGCAGTAGGAGAATGTCTGCCAAATTCACAGTGAGCTAATGAGCGTGTTTCTAACACACAACAGATGCAAACATTTATTTGAAAAACAAAGAAAAGGGTTACAGATATCTCAGAACAATAAAGAGGTGCCATACACATAAGACACAGACAAAGCCGTCAACTTAGAAAGAAAACCAATTTCCAAAGCTTGTGGCGATAGGGGCGTCAATGTACTGTAAACAAAAACATGTGATTTCCACAGCAAATTATTTATAGCCATAGCTCTTTCTTTTTACCTCTGTCGCTTGTTAAAAGTGTCAACATCCCCACCTGCTCACGTGATTCCAGGGGGATTTCCTGCTGTGTTCTCGCATCAGATTCGGTGCACTTTATACTAGGGGGCCTGGCAGAGAGTCCGAGAAATTTGCGTTCACAAATGCTCCTCCTCTGGAGAAAATGCGGAGGATTTCCAGAGTTAAGTGCACGTCTGAAAGAAGCTAATGTTATGTACAGCCTCCTGCGGGCTCTACTCAGGTGCTGACATTTTCCTGTCGTTGTGGACACGTCTGTCCCAGATCTCCTGCTGCTTTCTTCATATGTGAAAGCCAACATATCTCAATAATAATAAACACTTCATATCAAGCCATAACAATATAGATTTATAATTTTTCCAGTTTTATCCATGACTATATTTTATTTAGTTATGAAACTTCTTCCAGATGATCCTGATGTCCTTATTAAAAATGTTACATAGGCACTCACAGATCATATTACTAAGGGAGTGAGAAGTCTTCAGGCAAAGTAACTATATCTATCACAAGGTGACGTTTTATGTAGAATAGTTAATTAGACTCAGTGCAAATATGCTGTTTTTTGTGCCCTGTGAGTATCTGAATACCGGAAAATAGTGTGGATCATTATGTTAGTTCAGTGTAAAACCTAATGATCAAAAACATCCTGAACAAGGTTTGGTTATGTGTGTTTGATTTCTTGCTATCTTTTGTGACAGGTGGAATTAGCACTCTGGGACACAGCAGGACAAGAAGACTACGACAGACTGCGTCCACTTTCTTATCCAGACACTGATGTCATTCTCATGTGCTTCTCCATCGACAGTCCTGACAGTCTTGGTAAGTGATAACAATCTTCTTGTGAATTTAATCTAAATGTTGGTACGGCATTTGTAAAAACAAATACGGAAGCATAGCCACCCTAATAAAATTGATTTGGTTAACTGGTGTCTCATTAAATAATTAGTAGAGAACACAGACAACAGTTAAGACCAGTTAGAGATTTAAAGAGGAGGATCTAATGGTGTCATGTTAACAGACACACATGTACGATGGAAAAGCATATTGATACCCTCCTCCTCTTGTGATTGTGTCACATCATGTAGCACCTTCACTCAACTACACATCACAACTGTAGTCGGTTTTCAAGGCATTTTTCACAAAACTGATGAGTTAACTGCAACCTGCTGTATTTAAACCAATGTCTCCATCTAGAGGATTCAGAGGATTGTTTTTGCTCAGAGCACAGTTGCATACATTTCTCAGTATACAGAATTAAATCAATTGAATGCTTCTGTTCTTTTTTTCCTTGCAAGAATGCTAAAGATTTGATGATTCCAGACTGCGAGATCTTTCTGCTTCATATTGCATACTCTTTAGATTTTGTATCGTTGGTCAGAAAAAGTCAAATCATTGATGATATCTCTTTAGGCTGTAGGGAATTATGATGGGTGTTTTAAACAGTTTTTAGTGTTTCACAAGCCAAATAAATTGATTTAATTAACAAAATAGTCCAAGTTTATTGATAATGAAAAGGATCATCACTGGTGTTGTCTTTTTGTCCATCAGAGAACATCCCTGAGAAGTGGACCCCTGAGGTGAAACACTTCTGCCCTAATGTTCCCATTATTCTGGTGGGAAATAAAAAGGACCTGCGTAACGATGAGCACACCCGGAGGGAGCTTGCCAAAATGAAGCAGGTAAAACTGAAGAACACAAAGACACATTTACCGTCTCCTACTGATGAATGCTTGTGTCTTAAAACTCCTCTTGAACTTCTCTGTAGGAACCTGTGAAACCAGAGGATGGTCGGGACATGGCCAACAGGATTGGTGCCTTCGGATACATGGAGTGTTCAGCAAAAACAAAGGATGGCGTGAGGGAAGTGTTTGAGATGGCCACCAGGGCTGCACTACAGGCCAGGCGGGGAAAGAAGAGCAGTAAATGTGTCCTACTGTAAACGAGGGCACGAGGACTGCTTTCTACTGGGGGAAAGAAGGAGCATTAGGTCAAACCTACCCCCCACCCCCAAACACACCCACACAAAAGACTGTTCTCCCCAGTTTTTACTAAAGGTGTATTGCTTTTACTTTTTTTTGTCTTAAGCATACGTAGTCAAGTTCTGTCAGTATTCAATTTTGAGGTAATGGAAAACTAATTTTTTGTACTTAAAAATGAGTAAATTTGCCATAAGGAAACCTCCTTTATCAACTTGTAATCAAAGAGGTCAGCCAAGGGACCTGCTGTGTCATATCTGCCAACTACAGTCAAGTGCTTAAGCCCCGCCTGCTGATCTGAGGAATGTTTCCACAGCCAACTAGGGTGAAGTACCTGTACACTGTGACCCGTGGTCCTTTCAATTATTTCAACAAACGGATGCACACATGAAGTTGAAAATTTGTTTGTGCCCTTCATATACGAATCCTTTGTGCAGTATGATCACATGCACAATATGAGACTGGAAACTCATTTTGTTAAAAAACGCAAATGGAAACTTAGTGTTTTGTGTAATAAATTTCTTTGTAAGAATCTTGATTATTTGCCTTATTTGTTTGTTTAATCACAGACACTAAGGCACCCGATGAATTATGGTCCAGCTCAGAAACTGAACAAAAATGAATAAGCATGATGGAGGCAAAAGTTTACAACCATGCACATGTAATTGGACACTGTCTTTTGGAACATGTGTGAACTGCACTGAAAACTCAAGGACACTTGTGGTGGAAATTGTGGATTAATACAATCTGGTTATCTCACCTACAGAGCCTGATCTTTGTGAAAATATCTGTATGGATTTTGTAAGACAAGAAAATATATTGAGCAATTCATTTTACATACGTACATGCTTCCTGTATGTTTTTCTAACATACAAATCAACAGAGAGGTGAATAGACCCACCTATGCAGAGGTACTTATGGCAGTCTCTTGGCTCTTAGTTACTGGTTGGTACATATGCCACTACTGATATTTCTGTTCAGGTTTGAACTTCTTGGCCTCTGTGCTGCTGCATTAAATGGACTTTCACCACAATCAGATCTAGTGTCACTTCTAAAATATTAACTCAACATACATGTGAGCAAAATGCCTCAAACTGAATTACATACAAACAATCGATGCAAAACAGGACACAATTAATTTGGTGTTTAACAAATGTGCTTTATTTAACATACACTTAATACAAACTATAAAACTAAATTGCAGATCCCCACTTTGGTGCCGACAGATCAGACTGGTCGGAAAAAGCAGTTACATCAATTCTCCAAATAAAAACTAGGTACATTTTATTCACAATTGCTCTTTACTCATTAGTTTTTCAACTGCAGACCAATTCCCTGACAATGCACAAAGTATTATACAATGGACATGAGGGATTACATATTGCATAAGGAACTTAATCAAGCAGTTTATTAGGTACACCAGCTGAAACTAATACAATCCAACAGCAACAGACCGAAAACATGAAATGTATATTTATATATAGCATTTGGTATGGGACTGCATTAGTTCCACTCAGTGTACCTAACAAAGTGACAACTAAAGTAAAAATGACCCTGAAGTGATTTTATGTTGTAGAAGGCCACGCTGAGGAATTTTATGAGTGGATGAACTACTGAAAGGCCACAACTGATAACAACAGAGCTAAAAGGCAACAACAGCTTGAATCTGACTGGACAACATCAACACTGTGGTCCAGGTGATTCTCTATCAGGGTGAGACAATGGGGAACTCTGTAAATTATTTTTACATCAATTTGAACACTAGATACATTTTTGGTGTGTTTAACCCAAGAAATCCAATCCTATGCAGTTTGCCACGGTACCCTCACGTTTGAAGGTGTCAGGAAGTGCTTTGATAATCACCACCTCAAGAGTCATTTGTTCTTCTTGGCTGGAAGTCTTGAGCGGGCGAGAAACACTGGGAGCAGAGCCAGCGCTCCCAGAGCCACTGCCACTAACGGTCGGTAAAAAAGCCAACCTACTCCGATGGTAAGAAGAGACAAAGAGCAGGAGACACACAGGGCAAAGATCTTCAGCCCCACGGACACCAGCTCTCTGAGCACAGGAACCCAGTCCACTGCAGGGACAAAACACAACATGAAGGACGGACACAGAGATGGATTAAATCATCATTGGCAGTGTGTCAGTATTCGTTTACCCAGTGTGTAGATGATGCGCATGGTCAACTGAATACTGAGGAACATGAGGGCCCATCCTGCAGCCCTGAGACCCCATGTCTTCAAACTGTTGTGCTGGTGCGCTCGCTCAAAAATGTCCTAGAGACAATGAAAGAACTGCATCAAGACCAGGTGGAGAACCACACACTTAACCAACATGTGGAATTTTTCCCAGAACAACAGCAGTGAAGAAGGGAGATAAAGCACAGTGACCTCTGCAGAGAGATCCTCCAGGTACAGGATCTCCAGAGTGTCTCCTGACTTGGTTTTAAATGCCATCAGCTGCTCCCCTCTCTGCATGGCCACGATGCTGACCTGAGAAAAAAGCAAAGAGTCATGAAGTGTCTAGATATTTTGGTCCAGACATTCTCCGGTCCTTGCCTTTCACATATAAACTTTTTATTTACAGCACATCCAGTCTCTGATCTTATCACCCAAAGCACAGATTTTTCCCTGTTGTTAAATACAAATTTTATCAATCATGTACATGTTTATGATGTTCTCTTTGTCATTGCTCATCATAGCATTTTATAGACCAAAAAATATACAATTGGTAATAATAATCATTAGTTTCAAATTCCATTAAAGAGCACTAAGGTGACAATAGTGTGGCAACTAATAATAACCCATTCAATCAAAGTTTAAAACATTTATTACAGGTTAGTAAGTAAGTAAAGTAAAGTAAGTAAACTTCCTTTATTGATCCCACAAGGGGAAATTCTTTTTACACTCATGTTTTTCATTTTATACATGCATTAACCCACAATCCCACACACACACACAGGGCTCAAGACATGCACATTATGGAGAGAGATGGTAGAGTGATGGGCAGCCCCAGGAAAAGCGCCCTATGAGCGATTGGGGGGTACGGTGCCTTGCTCAAGGGCACCTCAGCAGTGCCCAGGAGGTGAACTGACACCTCTCCAGCTACCAGTCCACCTTCCATGATTATGGTCCATGCTGGACTTGAACCGGCCACCCTCCGGTTCCCAAGCCAAATCCTTATGGACTGAGCTACTGCTGCCCAGGTTGTTCAAAGTCTTGTCCAATCAGCAAACATTTAATTTACAATGACAGAACAAATCAGCTCATTAGATTGGCTGGAACTTAATGAATATTTGTTTAAGTAAAAGTTATTGAATTATCTAGATTGTTGTTGATTCCTTTTTTTTTGACCAACTATTCCACTAATAGACCTATAGTCTCAGCACTGGTTCACCTCATTTGTCAGTGATTGATTCACGAATTCCTGCAGAAACTCCATAAGGACCATTATTTACTGACATGTCAGATCGTGATGACTATTAACCAGGTTATCTGCATCACTCACAGTCTGAGCCGGGCCCAGTGGAGACGTCTCACCACTCAGTCCAGCGTAAGAGAATCTCACACGCACATCTCCGACCTCATGAATAAAACCAGACAAATAACAACAACTCTTTAAATGTGCCAGTAAGGAACATATAATGACAGAAGAGGCCAGCACTGTGTGCATCAGGCAGAGGTTCACCTCATGATACTCACCTCCGGCCTGCGTGGGTTTTGAGTGTGATAGAAATAATCATCATAGATGGTGAGAAAAGTGTCCAAGCTCAAGGTGGAGAAATCCCTCAAACTCAGAGTCTGGAAGTTATTGATCTGCTCCACAAGGCCTGAGGATGAATGAGTGACAGTCTGACAAACAGACCAGCTGAAGTATGTCTGTTTACAACAGGTTGTTTAGAGATGGATACCTTTAGATAGAACCAAGGGCCCAACTCTGACTTCAGGAGCCACTACTGTCACACTCTCAACCGCCATGGCACTGAAATAAAGATTAAGTTAAGGTGAAGTTACAGAAAATATTTTGGACTCCACTGTAAATACAATTACATTTTAGGTGAAAAAATGATGTACATTTTCTTTCATGGTTAAACAGTAAAATATCAAGCCTCAATTAGATTTCTTTGTAAGTTTGAGAACATCATCTCAGGAATCATTGCCCAATTTATTTCCAGTATATTATTGGCTGAAATATCTGTATTGGAATTTTTTGTACTCCGTAATGTACTCCAAAAATCTAAATCAGTCAGGCTCTACTCAGAGGTATTGGCTTACCTTGGGTTCTGGTGACCAATTTCCTTGTCAAAATGGCGACTGTTGACCAACTCTGATTTCCACTCAGTGTCTGGAAACAGAGTTACCACAGTGCGTCAAATAAAATATACACAAAGAGTAAAGAAGAGCCAAAAAGGTAAAAAAAAAAAAAACTACAAAAACTCACTGTAGGTGTATGTCGTCTCAGTTTTGGTTTCTCCATTCTCTTGGTAATCCCTGAAATCAATTACCTCTTCAGTCAGAGAATATTTTGTATTCAAGCCAACATTTTTAACACCTGACCTCACCCATAGTGTTGACACGCAGACAACAGACTCACTTGCTCTCCTGGTACTCCACCCACTGATACATCTCCACCTGCCTCTGCAGCTTCACCGCCTGCACCACCACTCTGTAGTTGGGGTCATAAAGGGGCTACACAAACACAAGTACATGGTGTAATTTTAGCTGAAGTAAATTTTTGTGCATTGCTTGAGTATCGATTTAAAATGAAACTTTGTATATTTTGGAACTGCCATTTTTTGTCAGATTTGCCTGCATTCCAACCTGTCTGAACTTCAGTATGTATGGAATTTTTTTTGCACTTGATTATTTATTATGGGAATGTAAATGTAAATGTGAGGAGCAATTTGACACAACAGAGAATCAAAACTGAAACCAACAGTCAAGTACAGCCTACCTCTGTAGTGTGCAGCTGAGTAGACAGGTGAACTAGACGGTTGTTGTTCTGCAGCTCAAGGCTGAAGTACGGCCCCAGCGACACAACCTGAGACAGACCTTCATCCAGAGAGGACGCTGTTTGCAGAGCTCGTCCCTGAAGAGAGAGGCAGGTACATAGAGTCAATCTGGAGTAACTTTAACATGGAACATAACTCAGCAATTAAACCTTCAGTGTAACAGCGTGGCTTTTGATGTAATGCATTAAATGCAGACGCAGAGTCAGTGGTTCTTACCTCATTGGTAAAGAGAATATAAATTGAGAGAAAAAACAATCCGATGCCAAAAGCTGTTCCTCCTGCAGTTTCACTCAGTCGCTCTAAGAATCCAGGATTAGATTTCACAGATACACGCTTGTGCTGGTTTGGCTCTGTACCTGAAAACTGACACAAACATACAAAAATAATAAAGTTGAATGTTTGCAATGATCTGAAAAATAAATGACATTGACCACTTGATGAATGAAGATCTATTATTATTCACAAATGTGTGTGTGTCACAACACATTAAGGTTTAGCAATAAGACAAAATATATAATTGTCATTATATTGATATCATCAGATGTGAACATTTGTAACTCTATAATCTTTGACCACGTTGCTCAGCCCTTTAAAAAGCTCTTATTTACAAATGCATATACAACGTGTGGTTTCAAGGATTCAGATTTGAGTCCACAAAAGGAACAAGTGAACCATTTCTCTGGAGATAGAGAAGTGTCACAGTGCATTCAAACATCTTATTATGTGATTCATAAAATGTCACAATTCATGATATTAGATGAATGGACAGAGCCAGTTTCTGGTTCAGTCAGATAACTTTTACACAACACAAACTTTTAACTTGTTTATTATCACTGTGATCATTTCGATCTATTTACATCCTTTAACCTCCAAACTGTTTTAATCACTCAGATATGTGCAAACACATCCTGTGTGCATGAGAGACTCGCCTCCTCTGACTGACCACACACACCAGGACAAGTGACAGTAGCGTGTTCATCTAAAGTTAGCTAGCTGCCATTACAGGCGCGAGCAGATGACACGCCTCTTTTGTGCTGAGCTCATTCTACTTCCTCACTTCATCTCAAAGTTACAACTAATAACTCAACGAATAACTCAAACAACATGACTCCTCACTGAGGAGTCCTCAGCGTGAAGACACGCAGGAGGCAGGAGGAGTCCGGAGGAGTCCGGAGGAGCAGATGTTAGCTCCCACACGGTTCTCTGTGACCTGGAGGCAGTTGAGGTGCTAACTTCACGATGAAACTCCGCTGGTTAAGTCCAGGTTCAGTAAACTAACGTGGTTCAGTCGAGTCACTTACTGTCTGTGATGGAGACATGGTTCTCCTGCTGCTCCTCACTCAAACTCCAGTTGGAGGAAATGAAGACGCTGGAGCCTTGAGGTGCGCTTCATCTGCACACAGCGTGTCCCGGAACCACCACGGGGGGGCGGCGCATGGCACAAGTTTGTATCCCCGCACACTGGGATACTCTGGTGTAGATAACAAGTGCTATAGATTCTTCTCAAGTTATCATGGGTGATGGAGTTTTTGCAGCAGGTCAGACCGGGAGGCTCACTGATGAAATATGAGTTTCACTTTATGATCATTCAGAAACATTTCACATTTTCTTTCCACTACATTGATCTGACAGCCACAGAGAGTGTCCACTTCCTACATATTTCAATGTATTATTACTACTGTGGTAGCAGGAACAAAAACAATTGCACTATGCATTGTACTGTGTATGATTGTGTATGTGACAAATAAAACAATCTTGAATCTTGAATCTTGAATCTGATTACTGAGCTTCAGTAAAAAATACATATATAAAATCCACATTATTTAATAACATAGTACATTAACCACTCTGAACTGAGCCATTATACATAGTCATTACTTTTTCTTTGATACTTCAAGTAAGTTTGCTGCTGTACATACATTTATATACATTTACTGGATATGTATAAGTACCACAGAGACAGACACACACAAACCACATCAACTGCCTGTAGTCAGCAGATCACCACTCAACCAACTGTCTCTCTCTCTCTCTCTCTGTCTCTCTCCCTCTCTCTGTCTCTCTCATATAAACCGACACCCACACACACACACAAAAACTGATAAACACACACACACACCCACTCTCTCTCTCTTTCTCTCTCCCTCTCTCTCTCGTATAAACCGACACCTACACACACAAACTGATAAACACGCACACACACTAACACACACACAAACACAGACACACACACACACACACACACACATACACACAGACACACACAGACACACACAAACTGTCTCTCTCTCTCTCTCTCTCTCTCTCTCTCTCTCTCTCTCTCATTCATGCACACAGACGCCCACACACACACTCTCTCTCTCTAGACATGTTCGTCTTAAGAGGATTATTGTGAAGAGGAAGACAAAGCACTTATCAACATCATACTTAGGTCTATGTGCACGTACACACAATGCACATATCCATGCACATACACACACAAGCACGTTCACGTTGATGCAGAGTGCATTCACTTTGACTCAGTGAGTGTTAAGATGCAGGAATATGATGTGATAGTGCTCGGAACTGGACTTAAGGTAAGAAAACTTGCCTTTTAATTGTAATATAGGTATTTGAGTCACATGAGGGAAAGCGTGTCAGTTAACGGGATAGATCGGCTCAGAAATCCTCTTTAAAGCACAAAGTCTGACAGTAAGTTAGTTCATTATAAAGTCTCTGTTGGTGTCTTGATTTGATTCTGCTGTGAAACGTGTCAAGGGTAATTATACCATAACTTTCAAAGCTTGAATGTAGAGACACATTCACATTGATTAAAAACTACTGATTCATCAGTTTCTCTTAGTATAAGTAGATAGTATAAGTGACAGTTAAGTTTCTCTTATTGTAAAACTCTTCCCATGTTTTTCACTATTTCATTGTTTATCCACATGCAGACTTTCTAAGCACCTGTTTCTAAAATCCCTGAAGGGATTTGTAGCGACTAAATTATCTCATTATGTTTGTCCTGATCTGTGGATGCACCCCCCTGCTCTTTTCATGATTAACTCTGCCAGCGAGGTTTTGTTTTCACCCCTGTCTGTTTCTTTGTTTGTGAGCACGATTACACAAAAACAAAAAAACTCAGTGCACAGGTGTGGAAGGAAAGAACCCAATACATTTTAGTGCAGATCTGGATCAGGGGACCGATCAGGAAGTCTTTTTTCCACTTTCTTTAACATTGCAATATTGGGGCCTTTTTCAACATTTTCCGAGAGTGTGTGAAATCTGGTGCAGCTTATTGAATTAAAGGGGACTGTTGGGGCTTGGTGGAGGTATGAGTGTGATTCTAGTTCTGACAGCATGACCCACTAACTACCAGCTTCCCTCTCTGTCTTAGGAGTGTATCATCTCTGGTTTGATGTCTCAAAGTGGGAAAAAAGTTCTTCACATTGACAAAAATCCTTACTATGGAGGAGAGAGCGCCTCCATTTCTCCCCTTGAAGAGGTGTGAACACACAAACAGCAACACATGCAGACACACACGTTTATCATGGTGTTTATTATCCAGTGTGTTTCTGTGTTTACAGCTGTACAAGAAGTTCAAGGTTCCAGGTCCTAAGGCCATGGGCCTTGGGAAAGAGTGGAACATCGACCTCATCCCCAAATTTTTCCTGGCCAATGGTGAGAGCTCAGTATCGTTCATCTGAAGTGTGACTTGTGCAGTTCATTTTGTTTCCATTGTTTCAGTGTAAACGTGTGCTGTCTATTTGCATTACAGGTCAGCTGGTGAAAATCTTGGTGCACACTGAGGTCACTCGATATCTGGACTTCAAGGTAGTTGAAGGCAGTTATATATACAAAGCAGGAAAAGTTCACAAGGTCCCCGCCACTGAGGAAGATGCCCAAGCTTCAGGTATTTTATTGCGTTGTTTTTGTATATTTTTCGGAGCCCATGTTGGATAATAACAATAAACCCAATGTTTCAGACCTGATGGGCATGTTTGACAAAAGAAGGTTCAGGAAGCTGCTGCTCTTCGCCCTCAACTTTGACGAGAGAAACCCTCGCACCTTTCAAGATGTCAACCCAAAGAAAATGACCACACGGGACCTTTTCTGCCGCTTCGACCTGGGATTAGATGTAATGGAGTTCACAGGTCACGCCATAGCCTTACACAGCAGTGACAGGTCAGTCCCAGGGACATACTGTACATGGACCAGATGCTGACAGATGATCCTTGAAGTGCCTGATCCTATTTAACCGTCCCTACGTGTCCCTGCAGTTACCTGGACCAGCCCTGTGTGGAGACCATCAGACGGATCAGGCTGTACTCTGAGTCTTTGTCCCGTCACACCAGCAGTCCATACCTCTACCCAATGTACGGGCTGGGAGAGCTGCCGCAGGGATTTGCCAGGTTTTACTCACACTATACTCATGAGGATTATGTAGAGATGAAGAAAACAGGTTTATTTGAAAATCGATTCCAGTGACTTCTCATTCTAATCAATCAGCTATCAGCAACGTGACAGTGACATGGGTTTAAGAGGACGGCCCTCTAGTGAATGGGATTTACAACGACATCTAAAAACTGCAGTCAGTGTGTTTCGTTGATTACCCATCCTGCCTGTGTGTGTTTCAGGCTGAGTGCAGAGTACGGAGGAACTTTCCTGTTGAACAGACCGGTGGATGAGATTGTGATGGACAACGGCAAAGTAAAAGCGGTGAAATCTGAGGGGAAGGTAAGGTAGATTTAAGAAAAAGAAAAATTAGTCAATACACTGGAAAAAATGATCCAGTGGCATAACTGTCCATTCTGTACAATTTGTCTTTTCTTTCTCTGCTAAACAGCTGTTCCACTGTAAACAGCTGATCTGTGATCCCAGCTATGTTCCTAATCGAGTGAGGAAAGTGGGTCGTGTCATACGTGTCATCTGTTTATTAAATCATCCAGTTAAAAACACCCACGAGGCCAATTCATGTCAAATCATCATCCCTCAAGCTCAACTCAACAGGAAATCAGGTATTAAAGATAGGACATTTTAACACAGTAAAAGATATATGAGTAAAGAAATAGTAAATAATAAAATGTATAGGGAAAGATTAGTTGAAGAAAGGTTTAAACTACATATGAGGTAAAACATGTTTAAATCAATTGAAAACAAGATCATAAAAATATGTTTTGAGCATTTTTTTTGAATGTCTCATATATTGATATGAACTGGGAGTTTGTTCCAAATCTTTGGTGCATGATTACATGAAGCTGCCAGAACTGTATTATTCCTGTCTTTTGTTAAGAAATGATTCCAAATTAAAAAATATATTATCTCACTAATGCATGAACAACTCTGATTTTCCATGCAGACATTTACATATCTGTAGTGTCCTTCACCCACAACGTGGCTTCAGATGGGATGTACATCGCCACGGTGAGCACGACCTCAGAAACCAGTAACCCGGAGAAGGAGGTGCAGCCCGGCCTGGATCTTCTCGAGCCCATCATGCAAAAGTTAGTGACGGATTTTCTGTTTATTGATTGTCAGTAAGATTACATTTTAAACAATATTTAATAATGGTATTTTCTGTCCAAACTTTGAATCTAGATTTGTGTCAATCAGAAACCTGCTAGTTCCCATCGAAGATGGAAAGAATAGTCAGGTGATGAGGGGAAAAGAAAAGAAACAAATAATAAATACAAATATGGAGTGTGGTGGACACGTGTTTGTAACAGATCCCCTCTCTCTCTTGACTCACTAGATATTTGTGTCCCGCTCATATGATGCAACAAACCACTTTGAGACTGAAAGTGAAGACATCGCAGATCTGTACCGACGAATCACAGGAGCAGAGCTCTGCATCGGAGGATCACAGAGACACCAGTCGCACAGGCCAAACAACTGGGCGGAGGGTTTTCAGTAGCATGTGGACCGGACTGTGTGGATTTAAATTTTGTGTTTAATTTTTTCTCCCATTTAATTTGTTTTGTGTAAAATCTATAAAATAATTCAATGTTGACAAAAAGTTTGGAATTTCTTTTCTTATGTCGATAATTTTGAGGTCTGTTCTTCTGAATTAGTTATTATGTATAGCACCAAAGTAAAATCCTGAGCACAGTGGATAGTCTTTCAGATATTCCCATTAAACCTTCTCATGCATGATCCAGGCATCAGCTTGACTGGAAATAGCATTTTTTGTAAGTTTCAGCTTAACCAAGATCTGGAATTTGTCTGGGTTTTGATTTCCAGTGATATGAAGATTAGAATGAGGTTATTTGGACATTGTCTGTACGTGTGAAGGTGAATGATAGTTTGTCTCTGTGTGTTAACCCTGTGATGGGCTGTCGACCTGCCCGATGTCTACCTCACCTCTCATCCTAACTCAGCTGGGATTGCCCCCCTTGTGACCCCTGGAGGATAAGCAATCTAGATGGACGGATGGGTCCTTTAAGCCCCAATCAATGCTTCCGTTATCCAGCAGCAGCAGGTAAACGTGATCGAGCAGCGCCCTGCGTGTGATCGACAGGGATTTAAACATTGGCAGATGATTAGAGATGAATCACATTGATGTTAGAGGATTTGTGGATTCTCTTATCGAGGGAGCTTATCTGAGAGAAGGACAAAGCCACTAAATTGTGTCACTTGCTTGCACATGCTTGTCCATGGCAGCGCTGCAGGAGACAGAGGACACACATACGCACAGATATAAGAGGCTTAACCAAATGAAGGACAGTCGCCACCAACACCTCAGGTACAGGACTGGAACATATTCACACAGACAATAATAATATACTGCACAGATTGTCTTTATCTGCTGCACTACTCATCATTGTGTCCATTTAAAATTAAAAACTACAGCACACTGTATATTGCCTTATACATTTATGCATGAAAATACATTAAATACATGATATTTGAGTTATTGCTAAATGTGGTGCTTCAAATATATAATTTATACATAGGAATGCAGCTGCAACGGTATTCAGGTCTAATTCTGCATCATTTGTGTCCTCAATTATATACACATGTATACACACTTAGTTCTCGAGGCAGTCAGTGAAACCTCATATCAACAGATGAGGGGGGGCTCTTAACATATGAATCTGTACAATAACTGTTGTAACCAAACATCAGAGGTGGAGATCGCCGATTTTTTCCCCAGAAGAACAACCGTCTCACAGGCTGCAGTATCTACTGCTGTCGTATATCCCGGGACTTACTCCTGTGTTACTTCCAGGGCAGTGCTGACAGGTGGAGGGATCAGTCCAGCAGCTGCTACTCTCCGCTCACTGGTCAGGAAGTTGAAGGTTGCACATGCGTTCGGCTGATGAACAGCAAAGGGTAAAAAAAAGGAATATTAGGTCAACCTCAATGTTGCTGGTGAAACAATTAGAAAATCTGTGGCCTAGTTCACACCTGCTATTAACATCCATCCACACCAAATCACACACACACACACACAC